CGAGTTGCACTATTCGATTATTTATTTGAGATCTCTCTGATTTTTAAAAACAAGCACTTATAACCACAAACTTTCCTCTTTGGACTGCCAGGGGTTATGACAGGCTGTGCTCTCATTTTCACTTGATTAAAGGAATTTTAGTCACCTTCTAATTTCTTCAGTCACCAAAATTTTCAAAAATTTATTATTCAGCCTCAATATATTTGTGAATTTTCCCAGGTTAATCTTTCAAGTAATTTGTGGTTTTATTCCACTGTGATCTTATTAGAGACAAGGAATTATTTCACTTTTTTCCTGTATTTGTTAAGGCTTTTTGGGGGCCTATAATGTGATCAATTTTAGAGAAGGGTCCATGTATTGCTGAGAAAAATGTATATTCCATACCTGTAGGGTGGAATGTATTGTAGGTATTTGTTAAATCTAGTTCATCTGTGGTGTAATTTAATTTCAGAAGTTTATTTGTTGATTTTATACTTGGACAACCTACATAGACATGAGAGTAGGGATGTGAATTCTCCCACTGTTATTAGTGTTTGTTGTATGCAAGTGGTAGCCCTGATACTTGGTGCATAAACGTTTACAGTTACATATCTTTGGTAAATTGTTCCCTTTATTAATATGTAGTGATCCTCTTTAATTGTTCTAACAAGTTTTGGGTTGAAGTCTACATTATCAGATATGAGAATCACTATGCCAGCTTATTTAAAACTTTCATTTGCTTAGTAGGTTGATTTCCAATCACTGGATTGGATGTCTTTCCTGCTTATGTGTGGCACTTTTTTAGACAACGGATCATTGGATCTTGTTTTTAAACCCATTCAGTTCATGTGTATATTTTAGTGGTGAGTTAAGGCCATTTGCATCCAAGATTGTTTTTGATAAGGCTTGCTATTACCAGTAATTTTGTTGGTTTTGTTGTAGTTGATTGGTGTTATACGTAGCTCTTTTCTTCTTCTTCTTGTAGTTTGGATGATTTCTTTTTTTGTTGTATTGAAGATGAATAATTCCTTCTTGGTTCTCTTCCTTTCATCAGTTGCTTTCATGAAAGGTATTTATTTCTACGTTGATATGTCATGGAATATCTTATTCTAGTACTGAAATTTTATTTCTCCATCAATTTTAATAGACAATTTCTGAGTATAGTGATTTTTTTGACATTTATGTTCAAACTTGAAATAGACCATTCCATGCTTTCCTGGCTTTTACTGATGGTGTTTGATAGCTTTATCTAAAGCAACATTCCTCCATGTATTATGCTCCAGCTCCTGCCTCCAGGTTCCTGCCCTGAGTTCCTACCTTGGACTCCCTTATGAACTGTGACCCGTGAGATGTAAGACAAATAAACCCTTTCCTCCCCAAGTTGCCACTGTTCAGAGTTTTTTTTTTTTTTTTGTCACAGCAATGGAGAAACAAACTAAGGCAGAAATTGGTACCAGAGAATGGGACACCACTGTGACAGACCTGACATTGGAGAACTGTTCAAGTGTTTGGAACTTTTGACTGGAAAAGGAATTGGGTGCTGAGAGTTTGTTGCTGTGGAGCTTGGAACAGTTATATTGAAAGAGCTGTAGATAATGGCGGCCTAGCTTATAAAGCTTCAAAGGGAAGAAGAGACTATCAGAGCTGTTTGTGTGATTTTTGAACTGAGAATCTGTGGGCCCTGGTTGGCTGGGGCTGAAAAATCAGCTATGATTAAGAAGACATCAGAACCTGAAGTAAAACCTTTGCTTTACTTTGACAATGATGCTGGTTAGCTGGGGCTGAAAAATCAGCTGTAAGTAACAAGAGACCACCATCACTGTGGTGAAATCTTCTGGGAAGTATTTCCTTAGGATCAGCACACAGAAGCTGTGGTCGAAAGGGGTCCAAAACCTCCATCTATAGCTTGAAGTAGGACGTGGTAATGTTTAAGAGTCTACTGCATGGTTCTGGTATTGAAAGCATGAAGGGGTCACAAAGAGCAGCTGAGGCTTGGCACCCTGAAAAGTCATAGGTGAAAGTACAGCTTCAGTTGCAGTGAAGACCCCAGGATTGACGAGGCCATGGAGAGAATCTGAGGCTTTGTACCCCAAGAGGCAAGAAGAGGCCATTGATGAAGGTGTAGCCTCAGTTTTAGTGGAGACCCCAGGTTTTTGGAGATGCTAAGACCATGGGATGACTACCAAAGGCAGGCGTGGAATGGAACCAGCCTGAGTCTTCAAGACTAGCTGTGTGTGCTGTGGACAGCAGAATCAGAGCAGTGGAACTGTCAGATCCCTTTGGAGGCCAGAAGATTGTGAGTCCCAGATGTCCAGCCTTGAGCTACTTTGCAGGACTTTGGTTTTGCTTAGGTGTTCCAGATTCTTCCATTTGAAATAAGACAGTACTTGTTTTGGATTTTAAAGAATCCTACAGTTATGACACCTTTAAAAGAGACAGTGAACTTTTAAGTGGTTGGATTTTATGAAGATGGTAGGGGTTTTTAAGGTTATACTGTCTTATGTTGTGATATTAATGTTAACATCATATCTTGGGGACAAGAAATGGAAAGGCTATGGTTTAATAGTGATGTGTTTGTGAAGCTGACAATGGGTCAACTGTTCTGGATAGCTTTAGTGTCAACTTGACATACCTGGGTGGAGGGAGCCTCAACTGGGGAATTGCCTCCATTTGACCTGCCTATGGCCATATCTGTGGGGGAATTTTCTTGACTGTTGAGTGATATGGGAGGGCCCAGCCCACTATGTGGAGTGCCACCCTTGGGCAGGTGGTCCTGTGTTGTATAAGAAAGCAGGCTGATCACAGGCCAGAGGATCAAGCAAGCCAGTAAGAAGTGTTAATCCATGGTCTGTGCTCCAGTTTCCTGCCCTGAGTTCCTGCCTTGGCTTTCCTTGATGATGAATTATGATGTAAGCCAAATAAAGCCTTTCCTCCTCAAGTTAGTTTTGATCAGTGTTTTTATCACAGCAATAGTGGGTAACTAGAACACTGATGCTATTTTGATGTCATGGCCTCTGTATGTTAGCTGCCAATTTTTGCTTATAGGTTTAAGATTTATATCTTTGCAATGTATTTTTGACTATGATATGTTGTGGCAATGTTCTTCTCTAATCATGTGTGTTTGGAGGTTTAAAATGTTTCCTTTCTTTGATGTTTGTTGCTTTCTCTAGGTTTGTGAAATTCTTAGCTATAATTTCATTGATTAGGTTGTCTAAGCCTTTTTCCTTCATCTTAGTTGTTTCTAATGAGTGTTTTTTTTATGTTTGGTTTCTAGAATGTATTACAGACTCACTGACAATTTTAGTCACATTAATTAAATTTTTATGTCTGTACTTATTAATGTCTTGGTGTTGTCCTCCATCATTGAAATTAATTAGTCTGTTTGATTTTTTCTGTCAATATTACTTTCTGCTGCATTTATTTTATTTTAAAAAAATTGTTTGAGTCATTTATTTTTATTTTACGTGTACAAGTGTTTTGCCTTCACGTATGCAAGTATGCCACCTGGTACAATGCCTTTGCCTGCCAGAAAAAGGTGTTAGAAACCCTGGAACTGGAGTTACGGAAGGTTGTGAGCCTCCATGTGGCTGCTGGAAACCAAACCTGGGTCCCTCTGCAAGAACAATCAGCATACTTAACCTCTCTGTAGCCCCTGTGTTTTCTATTTGATTATTGATTCTTTTTTGAGAGTTTTTGTTTCTTTTTCAGCATTTCAACATTCTTGCTCAACTCCCTTACATTGTAAATTCATGCCTCCAAGTAACTGGTTCTTTTATCAATTTTGTCAACTTTCTTGTATAAATATTGAATTGATTTCATAATTTTCTCGTCTAGGTATGGAATTAAATTCACTATATGTTTTTTCAATACTTGGTTGTTGCAATGGTTAATATCAATTGTCTACTTGATAAGGTGTAGAATCCCCTGAGAAATAGACTTCTGGGCATGACTGCAGGAGGCTATCTTGATTAGGTTAATCGAGGTGGAAAGTCCTGTGGGCGGTAACATTCCCTAGGTTAGGATCCTAGACTGCATAAAAATGAGAAAGTGAGCTGAGCACAAATATTCATTTCTTTCTGCTTTCTTGAAAACAGATGCAATGTGACCAGCTGCTTCAAACTTCTGTTTCTATGACTTCCCCAGTACAGTGGATTGTAACCTCAAATTGAGAGACCAAATAAGCTCTTTATTCAATGAGACACTTTTGTCAAAGATTCTTATCACCACAACAGGAAAGGTAACTAAACAGAATACTGATGCCAGGAGTAGGGCCATTGCTGGTCTAGTTAGTAATTCTTAATCCCTTGTTGGTTTGTCAGAGCAATGTGGAAGAGTTTGTTACTATCAGCTGGAAAAGCCTCACAAATGCTGGGATTGTAGGCATGAGCTACTACACTTGGTTTGCTAGAGCTTTTGCTAAATTATGTATGTTATGCCATTTGAAAATGTGAATGAAGGGCCTGTGTGATGGCTCAGTAAGTAAAGGCGACTACCACCAAGCCTAACGACTTAACTTTGATCCTGGAGCTCACATGGAGAGAACCAACAAGCATACACAATCACATACACAAATAAGTAAACGTTAAAAAAGTGAAAGAAATTAAAAAAGCCTATAAACGTTTCCAGATTATTTAAAATCCTGTGCTAATGAGAATTTTATTCTTTGGGAAAGCACATTTCTTTAGTCCACTTAGCTTGATCCCATCCTTTCAATGTCCAAAGAGAGAAAAAAATCCATGTGTTAAATGTCCACCTACCTGACCAGTGTTGGTTACAGTAAATGCTACAGCAAAGTGACAGAGAGATAAATCATTAATACCATTCTTTTGCTGTTTTGTCTATGATTCCTTTATTCTATTTTGGAAATAAATTTATATTTTACAGTAAGGATTTTTATACAGAATCTGAGTTGTGACATGAGTATACTTTCTAAACTGCTCCCTGTAATTTTAAGCAACAGAGAAACCGAGCTTCTACATTTGCCTACTGCTGATCAATGTTGAAATATTGATATTACTTACAGTAGTTGCTTCCTGGCAGGTATTACACCAAATCACGGGGAAGTCTCTCTTCAATGCCATAACACACTTCTTATAAATCACAGCACCCATACGTCTGTATTCTGTAAGAAAACGTAGGGTTCTAAATTTGAAGCATTTAAATTTGTATATTGGAAAAAGTTGCATATGCTAGAGTTAGAACAAAAGGAAGATAACAAATTTAATAAAAATTAGTACTTTCTTCCCTTTATCCCATAGCTTACTTAGTGATTACATGGGTCACTATTTTCAACGTCTTGATATTTTGGTTCTACAGCTGTTACTAGTGCTGCATCTAGGATTTTACTAAACAATCATATACAGATATCACTTGCAGGGACATCAAATCGCCTACTGATTTTAAGATCACTGAAAATGACTCTCAACTACGCAAATAATAGTGAGTATAGCATGCTTGTGCTTTCCCACTCTTCATTAGTGTGTACCTCTTGTGTTGGTGAGGATTCCACTGAAGAATTAGGTATCTGGAATAGTTCCTCAGATACTTTTATTTCTTTTTTGTTCATTCATACAAATCAACTATGCTGTCATTATGCAATAACATTGCAATATGACTTATTAGTAAATATTAGAATTTAATAGTTTATAATTGCTTGTAGATGAATAGGCAAAGTAGTAAAATATATATGTGACTTTTTCTGAGTAAGCCTTTTTCTGTTCATTATTTTTTTCTCTAATTTTCAGATCAGAGTACATGACTGATTTTTTGTTTTGTTTTGTTTTGTTCTGAGACAAGGTCTTACTGTGTAACCATTGCTGGTCTGGAACTCTTCATGTAGACCAGGCTGACCTCAAAATCACAGAGATCTGCCTGCTTCTGCTCTAGGAGTGATGGGATTAAAGGCATGTTTCACTGTACCTGGCATATAAGGGATTTTTTTCATTATTAGAAAAATATATATGACAATATTTTACACAATGATTTGGCTTCCTTGTTCTCATCATGACTTTATAACTGATTATTCCAGGACTGAATGTGATCAAATCATATTTATTCATTTTGGAGGAATAGTGAGTAACTCTAGGGATTATTTACTATTTAAAAAATTTTCCTCTGTAAAGAATAAAATTATATGTGGTATTACAGAAGAACAGAGTTACATTTACCCACTATATTCATCATTGTGAAATCTCTAGTGAACATGTCAGAAATTTACTTGTATACATTCAATTATGTGGTGAGAGAGTCAAGCAGGAAAGTAATAAGCACATAAAAAGAAATTGTACTCATGAAATACTCATTTCCCAGATTTAATAAGCTATTTCTCTCTCAAAAAGATTGCATAATATTCAACGCATTTCTGTATGTCAACTTTAGCTCAGCTTTAGAAATTAAACTTTTTGGATACTATTAAATGACAATTCAATAAAGATTTGAAAATTGTCCTATATTTGTTAAATACATTGTGGCAAAACTAGTAATCTTTAGATTATATAATGTGTGGAAAGATGTGTCAATGATAACTTCATATTTAAATCATAGCTGTACATTTTTAATGGCACAAAATGTTAGGACTTTGACATCTTTACCTGCATTAGCAGCTGCATCTCCAAAAGAGGAACCATATGCTAACTGTAACATCTGACCAACCCAACTGAAAAAAATACAAAGAGAAAAGACAATAGTTAATAGACTAGCCAATAATTATTCAGAAACTCTGATATTTAAGATACTTTTTTTAAGTACATCAATTCCAAGAGATAAGAACTGTTATTATTTCATCTAACAGATAGGAAACCAAAGTTCAAAAACCTTCCTAAAATATATACATATACACAGATAAAGAAGGTTTACATGGAATTATTCTATAATGGGGGACAATGCCCAAACCAGACAACACAGGATAGCAAATAAGCTCAGTGCCATGAATGGGCTTCCTCTTGGAACTGTTGAGGGGCCAGAAAGACCCTCAAACAGCACTATTGCCATTGTTCTTGGTTACACAGCACAACTTGATAAGACCCTATTGTTGAAGACAACACAAAAATGAATCATAGAGCAAGCAAGATGAAATCAACCTGGCACTGACCTCAAAGCTTTAGCTCTACTGGTAGCTTTCATTGTGCTGAAAGGTGTTATATATGCTATCAGACAAGAAAGGTGGTCATTATTCTTACCTACTTGTGAATGCTGTGAGCTACAATGATGACTGGCCTGGATGATATTCTCACTTGTGGAAAAGTGGCACAAATGAGGGTAACTGAACATTTTTTGTTTAGATTTAAGGTCCACTTCACAAGATGGAACCCATACTTGACAGTGTTATTGGGGCCAAGCATTGTGGCTAGACAGGTCACAGACCATAAGGGAGAACCTACTATAATTATTGTGCTAAGTGGACATAGTACTAAAGTGACTCCCAATGACTTATTGTTATACTCATAGATCAATGAATCTCTCAAATCACATCAGAGAAGTTTCTTTTTGCAACATATTGTCATTAATCCAGAGGTTCACCATTGGCCAACACGCAGAAAATAAGAGACTGCACAGTGCTTAGCCATTAGTGAGACATCTATATCACACCTCCCCACCAAAGGCTCAGAGAATGTCTTGAAAGAGTGAGTAGAAAGGTTGTAAGAGACAGAGGTGGTGGATGAATATACAAAAACTGTGTTTCATGCACACAGCAGGGCAACAGTGCATAAGAACCCACAGTGGTTGTGACAGTATGCACAAGATCTGTACAAGCTTAAGCCACACAAAAATCTCATCATGGATGAGTTTAGGGGTTATGAAGCCCTATCCTTTGCTGGTATCCTTTCCTGAGGAACTACTGGCAATTGATGATTTCTGGGAGAGGGAGAATCAGTTTTCTTTAAGGGTATGAAGCTAGTACAGTTGACCACACTCCAGGAGATGCATTCACATTCATTATTTGGGGAACACAAATTGGAATCAATAGCCTGCAAACACAAGAGTACATGAAGTGAAGGATTGGGGAAGATGAATTGGAGAAGAGATAGGGAGGAGGTTTGCTTGTGATGAAAATACACTGCATGAAATTCTCAAAGTATTAATAAAAGTATTAAAAAGGGAAGGAAACAAAAGTTCAGAAATGTTTAATAGTATGTCTGAACAAGTAACGGTGATGCTCATAATCCAAGAAGTTAGCTCCAGAGCCTACAATATTTATCAGAACAATATATAAATTTTATCTATTTTTCAGAATTTTAGCTACTTTTCAAAATATATTAAAATTCAAGAGGAGAATGCCTTCATATCAAGTGTCAAAGATGTCTACAGATAACAGCTCTCATTAGGAAGCAATTATAATTAACAATACAGTCACAACTAGAATTAAAACACATGAAGATCATGAACTGTACAAGAAGTTTCTCTTATGAGATCAAAGAAAGCTGAATCAATGATGGTTGCATATCTTCTAAGTTTTCCATATTACCAACATAAGGAAGCAATTTATTGATAAATACAAATCATTCTTTTGATGGCCCAATTTCAATACAAATTAGAACTAACATGATAGTGTATACAAAAGCAAGACTAACCCATAATTTTTTATTCCTGATATACAAAATCGCAGAACCAAAAATCATGCAAATACTCAGTAAGCTGAAAGTATTTAATAATACATTGGATGGTTTTAGTCACACAGTATCTGTTAGCAATTAAAAAAAATTATTGAGCTTTTTAAACTTCATACATTTCCCGCTCAAATTCAGGCCCTCTCCCCCATCCATGCCTCCCCCTATCCGCCCAGCAAACCCTATGTACTCTGCCACGAATGCAGAATCCCATTCATTCAGGTGTTTGTGCACAAATGTCCTTCAGTGTAAATGCGTCCACTGGAGTCTAGTCAGCCCAACCAGTGGTTGTATGTAAGTCATACTGTCCCTCACCCAGCAGCAATCAGTCTCAAATAGTACTCCATCTAGTGCTGGCCCACCACCTATTTTTCACCTCCCCTTTGGGCCCTTGTTTAATTGAGCTGACATGGGCCAGATTACATCTCACATTGGCAGCATCATCCACTGGTATTGGTTTTACAGACATGAAAGATGCATGAGGGGGTGGGTCATCAAAGCTTCCCCAAGGATATTAAAAGCCATGATGCCAAGCAGTGTGTGGTAGTGTCATAGTCTCTGTAAAGAGGTCACTAGGAGAAGCTGTGAAGGTGAAGCCTAAGTTGTAATGGAGACTTCAGGATATTGGAGATGCCAGAACCATGGGATGTATGCTGGGGAAAGAGCTGCAGGCATAACATGGAGCTGGCCCTAGATAGAACCTATGTGTACTGCTGGTGGCAGAGATGGAAAGGCAGTTACCTAAACTCCTTTGAGCCCAGATGATTATATCATGAGCTCCAGATTCTGTGCATGGATCTGTAGGACTTTGTATTTTTCCTGCTAAGGTTCAGTCTTTCTTTGGTCTAGTGTTTCCTTGTTATGTCTCCATTTCTCCATTTCTGGAATGGGAATATTTAACCTGTGCCTTTATATGTTGAAGTATGCGATTATTTTTTTCTTACTTTGCAGGGGCTCACAATTAAGAGATTGCCTTTAGTCTCAGAAGAGATTTTGATATTTTAAAGTGTTGTGACTGTTAAAAACTAGGGTGAGTTCTGAAATTGGAATGACTGTATTTTGCATTATGAAATAGCATCAGCCTATGGGGATCAGAGGCAGAGCATTGTGGTTTGAATGTGAAATGTCAACCACATGCTCACGCATTTGAATACTTGGTACTCAACTAATGGTGCTGTTTTTGAAGGTTATGGAACTTTTAAGAGGTGGATAATGATTGGAAGGTCTGAGCTACTGTGGGTGGGCTTTGAAGTTTGACAGCCTGCACCAAATTCCTTTCTGCTCTCTGCTTCTTGACTATGAACAAAATGTAACTAGCCACTCCACATTCCCCCTTACCATGCCTACCCTGACATGATGGATTATATCCCTTCTTATAAATAAAAATTTAAAAACTTTCTCTCCTTTTTATTTAAAAAATATTTTATTTCCTAGTTTTAATTTATGTGCATGAGTGTACTATCTGCATGTATGTAAGTGCATCCATGTCATGCAATACCTACAGAGGTCAGAAAAGGGCGTCAGATTGCCTTAGAACTGGAGTTACAGATGGTTATTAGCTGCCAGGTGAATGCTGGCAATTGAACCTGGGTCCTCCGCAAGAGCAGCCAGTGCTCTTAACCACTGAGCCATCACTGTAGCCCCAACGTTTCCTCTCAAGTTGTTTCTTGCTAAGTATTTGGTCATAACAAGAAAAATAATATACTATTGTATTAGTTTATAGAATATCCCTATCACTACAGAAGGTTTAATTAAATGACATTGTCTTAATGCTTAGGAAAAAGTAAAATTCGTATTTTATTGTTTGTGTTCTTTGAAAAAATTCAATTTTTTCAATCTATAATTATTTTAAAACAGCTTAAAAAAATCTCAAAAGCAATTGATATTTTATATATTTACAAAACTATAATCCATCTATTGCCCCTTTAAAGCATATATTGTAGGTGAAATATTAAATTTTACATTTACATTTTAAAAAGAAAAATGTCTCAATTTGTATCTAAAATTTTTCTGAAGTGAGACTTAAATATAATTGACAGGGTACTTAGTACAAATGAGTTTTTCTATGTATTTTTTCTTGTGTGTTCTGGCTCAGAGAAAATCTGACAGTTATTGAAAATATAATGCCAGTACCATTGTCAGTATCCAAATAAATTACTTTAAATGTGTATGAAAGCAGTAAAAAACTAAGCATATATTTTTTCTTGTTGAGCAATTATTGGTGTCCTATTTTTATTAGAATGTAGTAAACGTACAGTTAGAAAATTAAAACTTTAAAAATAACTATCCTTAACTACTAAAACTAATCCATTTTATTAAATTATCACATGTTCTAAATGTAACGATGGTAGTAATTTGTTTATTACACAGATTATTTATCCTTCATGTACAAATTCTAAGGGAGGAATTAGAGGTTTTCATACACACTAATATTTTCATCAAAGTTTTTCTTGTACATCCAGATAAATTCAAACTGATAACACCATCAGCTTACAATTCACTGTGTCATTTCTGTATACTTTGTGATAGCATTTATCTTGGACTATCAATTATTTTAACTTAAAATGTAAATTTTCTCATAGATACAGTTGCTGATCTTACATAATCTGATTTTATTAAATATTGTTAAATGTAAACAAAAACTTAAAATAAATGCAAAACTTGTGCTGGGGTTGACAACATGGAATTCTTAAAAGTTCTGAGTAATACAGACTGTATTGTCTTTTCTTTTTAAAACATTATTATTGAGATATGTTTTGTAGATCAAGTAGCCTTGGAGGGTAGAGGTCCCCCAGTGCATAGAGCAGGTTTATTGTCTGATCAGGTTAACAAGAATGTCTTCCAAAGGGGCAAAGTTTGGGCAACTTGAGTAGCCATCCTTTTGAAAACTTTGCTCAACTGTAACAAAAAACTGTGTGTGGAGCACCCACCTAGTCTGCTCCCACTGAATTTGGGGATGGTAAGATGATCAGTGACATTCATCTGCCTGCCCGGCCATGACTAATGAAGATCTTTGTTTCTAACTCAGGTGCCTTCCTCATTTTGGTAGCCTCCACAAAAACTGTACAGGCTCATTTGTATGTTTTGAAATTAGGTAAAAATCTCAAAATATGCATGACTACTAAGAAATTCAAATTAGACCTAGTATACATATGTCCTAGGCAAATATATACAAGCCAGTGCAAGGGAGAGAGGTAGAGAGAGCAAAGTGGTGAAGGTTATAGGTGTAGTAGGTATATAAAACTACAAATCCATTTTACTTATAACAACTCCTCATTCAATTTTTGTCCAGTTAAATATAGACCTGGAAATAAAGGATGCGTTAGAAGACTTTACATTAAAAATATTTCCACAGCCAGGTGTGGTCTCACATGCCTTTAATCCCAGCAACTCAGGAGGCAGAGGCAGGTGGATCTCTGAGATCGAGGTCAGCCTGGTCAACATCGTGAGTTCCAGGCTAACTGGGGATACAGGAGACCCTGTTCAAAAAATATTTTTCTAAAAAATCTTTCCACT